GGTCAAGACAAGTTAGGAGGCATATGTCAGATGTAGACAGCTAGGATCAAGTGATTCCTTTGAGGAGTATAGGGAGAGGTGGAATATACTTTCACAGAATAGAATGCCTACAGTGTGGAAACAGGCCCTTCGGCCCAACAAGTCCACACCGACCCACACAGCATCCCACCCAGACCCATCACCCTATAACCCACCTAATCTACACATCCCTGAACACTACAGGCAATTTAGCATGACCAATTCACCTAGCTTGCACATCTTTGGACTGTGGGAGGAAACCAGAGCACCCGGAGGAAACCCACGCAGACACAGGGAGAATGTGCAAACTCCACTCAGACAGTTGCCCGAGGGTGGAATCGAACCCGGGTCCGTGGCACTGCGAGGCAGCAGTGCTAACTACTGAGCCACCGTGCCACCCCATTTTTTTTTGCATGCTTATGAGGTAAATCAGGAGGGCAAACAGGGGAAACAGATAGCTTTGGTAGATAATGTTAAGGAGAATCCAAAGAGATTTTACAAGTACATCAAGGGAAAGCGAGTAACTAGCAAGAGAACAGGGCCCCTTAAAGATCAACAAGGCCACCTATGGTTAGAGCCACAGGAGATGAGTGAGATACTAAACAAATATTTTGTGTCAGTACTCAGTGTGGAGAAAGACACTGAAGTTAAGGAACTTGAGGTAATGAATAGTGAAGTCTAGAAAAGAGTACACATTACAGAAGAGGAAGATATCGACGTCTTAAAACACTTTACGGTGGATAAATCCCTAGGACTTTATCAAATATATCCCAGGACATTGTGGAAAGGTAGGGAAGAAACTGTGAGGACGCTAGCAGAGACTGTTATCATCAATAGCCACGGGTGAGGTGCTGGTAGACTGGAGAGTCATTAATGTTGCGCTTTTATTTAAGAAAGGCTACAAGGAAAATGCCAAGGAACTACTGACCAGTGAGCCTGATGTCAATGTTGGGTAGGATTCTGAGAGACATGATTTACGTGCATTTGGAGAGGCAAGGAAAGATCAGGAATAGGCAACATGGCTTTGTGCCTGGGAAATCATGTCTCAGAAACTTGATTGAGTTTTTTTGAGGATGTGACCAAGAGGATAGCCGAGCGTAGAGCAGTAGACATTGTCTACATGGACTTCAGCAAGGCCTTCAACAAGGTTCCGCGTGGTAGACTGGTTAGTAAGGTTAGATCACATGGGATCCAGGGAAATCCAGCCAATTGGACACAAAACGGATTGAGGACACAAAATTGATTGACAGTATGAGACAGAGTGGTGGTAGAGGGTTGTTTTACGGAGTGGAGGCATGTGACTAGTATTGTTCTGCAAGGATCAGTGCTGGGTCCACTATTGTTTGGCATTTATAGAAATGATTTGAATGAGAATATAGGAGGCATTGTTAGTGAGTTTGCAGATGACACCAAAATTGGTGGTATAGTGGACAGTGAAGGTGGTTATCTAAGATTACAATGGGATCTTGATCAGGTGGGCCAATGAGCTGAGGAGTGGTAGATGGAGTTCATTTTAGATAAATGTGAGATGTTGCATTTTGGAAAGACAAACCAGGGCATAACTTACAATGGTAGGGCCCTGGGTAGTGTTGTTGAACAGAGACACCTAGGGATGCAGATAAATAATTCCTTGAAAGTGGTGTCACAGGTAGACAGGGTGGTGAAGGCACCATTTGCCTTCATTGGTCAGACCATTGAATATTGGAGTTGGGACATCATGTTGCAGCTGTATAGCACATTGGTGAGGCCACTTTTGGAGTACTGCATGCAGTTCTGGCCATCCTACTATAGAAAGGATGTTATTAAACTGGAAAGGGACAGAAAAAATTTACAAGGATGTTACTAGGACTGGAGGGTTTCAGTTATGAGGAGGGGCTGGATAGCTGGGACTTTTTTCCCTGGAGCGGAGGAGGTTGAGGAGTAACCTTATAGAGGTTATAAAGTCATGAAGGGCATAGATAAGGTAAATAGTGAAGGTCTTTTCCCTAGGGTAGAGGAGTCCAAACTGGAAGGCATAGGATTAAGATGAGGGGGGAAAAGATTTAAAAGAGACCTGAAGAACAACTTTTTCCACACAAAGTGTGATGTGTATTGGAATGCCAAAGGAAGTGGTAAAGGTGGGTACAATTACAACATTTAAAAGACATTTGGACAGGTACTGTAAATGATTTGGATGAAGGAGTGGAAGGGTGGATTAGTAAGTTCACGGATGATACGAAGGTGGGTCACGTTGTGGACAGTGCAGACGGCTGTTCTAGGTTACAAAGGGACATTGATAGGATGCATGGCTGGGCTGAGAAGTGGCAGATGGAGTTTAACCCTGAAAAGTGTGAGGTGATTCATTTTGGAAGGACAAACTTGAAAGCAGAATACGGGTTAACAGAAAGATTCTTGGCAGTGTGGAGGAGCAGAGGGATCTTGGGGTTCATGTTCACAGTTCCCGGAGAGCTGCCACCCAGGTGGATAGAGTTGTTAAGAAGGCGTATGGTGTGTTAACTTTCATTAGTGGAGGGATTGAGTTCAACAGCCGTGAAGTTATGCTCCAGCTATACGAAAGCCTGGTTCGGCCACATCTGGAGTATTGTGTCCAGTTCTGGTCACCTCATTACAGGAAAGACGTGGAAACGCTAGAAAAGGTGCAGAGCAGATTTACCAGGATGTTGCCTGGAATGGAGGAAAGGTCATATGAGGAAAGGTTGAGAGAGCTAGGGCTTTTCTCTTTAGAACGACGAAGGATGAGAGGTGACTTGATCGAGGTGTACAAAATGATCAGAGGTATAGATAGAGTAGTCAGCCAGAGACTTTTTCCTAGGGTGGAGGTAGCTTTTACGAGGGGACATAATTTTAAAGTGAAAGGAGGTAGACATCAGGGAGACATCAGAGGTAGGTTCTTTACTCAGAGAGTGGTAGGGGCGTGGAATGCATTGCCGGAGAGGGTAGTGGAGTCGGCCTCATTAGGGGCATTTAAGCAGCTATTAGATAGGCATATGGATGATAGTATAAGGTAGCGGTGGCGGTTAGATAGACCTTAGGTTGAGGGTAAAAGTTCGGCACAACATCGTGGGCCGAAGGGCCTGTACTGTGCTGTACTGTTCTATGTTCTATGTACATGAACAGGAAAGGTTGAAAGGAATATGGTGAAAAAAAGGCAGATAAATGGGACTAGTTTAGTCTGGGAAATCTGATTGGCATGGATGAGTTGGACCAAAGGGTCTGTTTCCCTGTTGTACGACTATCTAGATAAAGTGTTTCATATGTTGTTGTGGGAGATGAGAGGAGAAATGGTAGGCACCCTGACCCAAATTTTTAAACCGTCTCTGGCCACTGGAGGAGCATTATGTTTACAAGGATGGTAGAGACAGACCAGAGAAATGTAGACCAGGGAGTCTTCAGAGGTACAGAACCACTGGAGAAAATTGTAAAGTTGAAAACTCATCTCCATTTAAAGAGGTAAGTTTTGATCAGGGATAGTCAGAGGGAGGTCACGCCTAATGAATCTGGTCGAATTTCTCGAAGAGCGTCTAAGTGTATAGATGAGGGCAGGGTAGTTGATGTAGTATATATGGATTTCAGCAAGGTCTTCAACAAAGTCTCACATAGGAGTTTGATAACGATGGTAAAAGCACATGGATCTAGGGTAAATTAGCTTGTTGGATCCAAAATTGGTTTAATGACATTGACACGGGGTGGTAGTAGAAGGCTGTTTGTGTGACTGAAGGCCAGCTCCAGTGGCATATCACAGGAATCCACGCTGGGTTGTTTATTTACATAATTTATAAATATTACAAATAGTGAGAATGTGAGGGATGATAAGTAAATTTGCGAATGACACAAAGATTGGCCAGGTGGTTGACATTGAGGAAGAAGGTCTTAAGTTCCAGGAGGATAAATTATTTAACCTATTTTTCTAATCAACCTGTTCAGAGCTGTTATTACACATCTTTGGAGTAGGTGGGACTTGGAACCTAGCCCTCTCAGTTCAGGGGTAGGGACATTACCGCTGTGCCACAAGAGGGCCCCATGGTTACAGGATAATATTGGTCAGATGGGCAGATCAGTAGCAGATACAATTTAGTCCTTATAAATGTGAAGTGATGCACAAGGGAGTATTCAGTGAATGGGAAGAGACTAGAAAGCTCACAGGAACAGGGGGATCTTGGGGTGCTTGTCCACAATTCCCTGAAGTGGCAGCACAGGTTAATTGGTTAGTTAATATGGCACCTGGACACTTGCCTTTATGAGTCATGGCATGGATTACAAGAGCAGGGAGGGGATACTGGAGCTGTACAGAACTTTGGTTAGGCCACAGCTGGAGTACCTTGTGAAGTCTTGATCTCTGCATTATAGGATGAAGGTGATTGCACTAGAGGAGGTGCAAAGAAGATTCACCAGCTTGTTGCTTGGGATGGAGCATTTCAGCTACGACGAGAGGGTGGATAAGGTCAGATTGTTTTCTTTGGAGCAGAGAAGATTGAGGGGTGAGCTAATAGAGATGTATAAAGATTGAGGAAAATGAACAGAGTGAATGGAAAGCAGCTCTTCCCTTAGTCAAAGGGTCAATAACAAGGGGGCATAACTTTCAAGTGAAAGGTAGGAGGTCTAGAGGGGATTTAAGGAAATTGTTTTTCACTCAGAAGGTGGTGTGGGTCTGCAATGCATTGCCTGGGACGGAAGTTGAGGCAGGAAACCTCAAGCTGTAAAAAATTCTTGGATGCGCACTTAAAATAGTCAAGGCTATGGGGCTAGTATGGGAAAGTGGGACCAGAGTAGGTATTGGTATATTTTTGGTAGCACAGACTTGATGGGCCAAAGGTCTTTTTTTCTACTGTATGATTCAATGAATGAACTTGACTGAATGAAATGAGTTGTGGCCAGTAATGAGTAACAGCTGTTTCTCAAGCAGCCAAGAACATAGGTCTCAATAAAATGTTAAAACACGAGGCCAGCTCTTCCTAGTATAGCAACAAGTAGTAAAGTTTTACCATTCTCGTGATGTGTGCCTATTATGTCCTCGATATCTTCTTGGATGATGTCGTCGTTGGCTATCATGCCATCCATACTGGTGACTGCCATGCCATTTATTTCTTCTCATTTCTGTACCTATCAAAAATATTCACATTAAAGCATCAAAACAGATTGGGATAGTGTCAATATTCACCTCCTACCATAATTATTGTGCAAAATTGATATTTGTCCGATTTAGAAAGTGAGGACCATTTCCTTAAGGACCGAAAGATTTTGGAGCAGATTCATTCATGGGATATGCGTGTTTCCACAAGTCAGCATGAATTGTCCTTCCCTAACTACCCACAAGAAAGTGGTTATGAGTTGCCTCCTTGAACTGTTGCCAATGTGGTGTAGGGGCACACTCAGTGAATAAGAATGGGACAACCTGAATCCCAAAGTAACAGATACAGTCGAACCTGTCAGACATAAAAGAGAAGGTAAAGAGACGAAGACAGGTACATCATGAAACGAAACTAATGGCAGCAGCCCATGCTGTCTGCTGTTGCAGCAGAGAGAGGCATAAATGTTGGAAGTGATCTGTCAACGTTTCAGGTGGTATGTCACAGTGGAAAAAACAGGCAGCACACAAAATAAAGTTTTAAATGGAAACAGAATCCATGAAGTTGAAGATCCAAAACCAATTGAGTTACTACTTTAATCCCTTTAAAAAAAATCTAAGTGGGAATTGCTGGAGATCCTAAAAGATCACAGGACACAGTTTAAAATCAGATCATGCACTGGATACCTCTGTTGTGTGTTCAAATCCAATTATTTTATTGGAGCCACAAACTGGGTTTATAGGACCTCTCAAGTGATGTCAGCTCAGTGATTCTCATCAGGTGAGTAATGGTCTTTAAAATGCAACACACTTTCCTGCTGCAGACTGTCTCCTTTCCTTTACAAAAAGTGTTCTTCCTAAAAAGAGCGATCTGATTGCACAGAACACATTCCAGCCTCTACGTTTCCAATCTCTCCCCTCTCGCCTCTCTTAGAGCTTTCTAAGCTGTATGAATGACAAATCATGTAAATACTGTGGCCACAAGAGTAGGTTAGAGGCTAGGAATCCTGCAGCAAGTAACTCACCTCCTGACACCCCAAGGCCTGTCCACCATCAACAAAGAACAAATCAGGAGTGTGATGGAATACTTTCCACTTGCCTGGATGAGTGCAGCTCCAACAACACTGAAGAAACTTTACACCTTTCAGGACAAAGTAGCCCACTTGATTGGCACCACATCCATTCCTCCACCACTGACAGTCAGTAGCACAAGTGTGATCTATCCACAAGATCCACGCAGAAATTTACCGAAGCTCCTTCTGATGAATGATCATTGGAATTCAAACACTAACTCGTTTTTCTCTCTACAGATGCTGCCAGACTTTCATGAGTTTCTTCTAGCAATGGAATTTCTTTGTTTTATACTTAGAAAGCGCCTTCCAAACTTATGAGCAGTACTGTCTAGAAGGGCAAGGACAGCAGATACTTAGAAACATCACCACCTACAAGTTCACCTCCAAGCCACACACAATCCTGACTTGAAAATATATTGCTGTTCATTCACTGTCGCTGGGTCACAATCCTGGAATTCCCTCTCTAAGGGCATAGTGGTCTACCTAGAGCACGTGGACTGTTGCAGTTCAAGAAGGAAGCTCACCACCACCTTCTCAGCACAACTAGGGAAGAACAATAAATTCTGGTCCAGACACTGACGCCCATATCCCATAAGTGAATAAAAAGATTTCATACCTGCCAATTTCTAACTGCTCCAAATTCACAAAAACAGAAATTGCTGGAGAAATTCAGCAGGTTTGGCAGAATCCGATGAGAGAAAAAAAAGTTAGCATTTCAAGTTCTGTGACTCTTCTTCAGACACTTCTGAAAAAAGGAACATCGGATCAGGATTGGCTATTCAGCCCTACAAGCCTGTTCTGCCTTTCGATTACATTATGGCTTATCCGTGGCCTAACTCCCATAGAGTATCTTTGCTTCATATCCCTTAATAATAAAAAGTTACCTATCTCAGATTTAAAATTAGCGACTAATCTAGCATTCACTGCCATTTGAGGAAAACAGCTCCAAATATCTACCACCTTTTGTGTGTAGAAGTGCTTCCTAACATCTCTCCTGAATGGTTGGCCCCTAATTCGCAGACTGCATAGTCTAGTTGTAGAATCCCCAATCGGTAGAAATAGTTTATCTTCATCTACCTTGTCTTTTCCCGTTAATATCATGAAGACTGCAAACAGATCACCCTTTAACCTGCTTAATTCTAGAGAAAAGAGGTGTAATTTGTATTATCTCTCCTCATGACTCTAATCTCTGAAGTCCAGGGGGCTACTCACCAAATTTGGGAAATTTGGGTGGGGGGGGTGCGCAAATTCTCTGCTCAGTGATGTCATACCAGGCCCATTGGAAGACAGTTATGTTTGTTGGAGATCAATCATCTCATCTCTAGGACCTTTCTGTAGAAGTTCCCCAGCAGTGTCCTAGGCCAAATGCTTAATCAATGGCTTTCCCTTTAACATAAGTTCAGTTTGCTGATGATTGCGCAATGTTCAGCGCCTTTCAGGATTCCTCTGATATTTAAACAGTCCTTGTTCAAATGCAAGGAAAAGTTGACAGTATCCAGCTGACAAGTGTAAATAACATTTGCACCACACAAATGCCAGACAATGATCACTTCTAATATGAGACAATTTCATCACCATCTGTTGACTTTCAATAGCGTTACCACCATCACTGAATTCCCTACTCTCAACATCATGGGGTTTTGATTAACCAGACCTGGACTCACCACATAAATTCAGTGGCAACAACACCAGGTCAGAGCAAGTAGTTCTACAGCAAATAACTTACCTCCTGACTCCACAAACCCTGTCCACCATCTACAAGACACAAGTCAGGCAAATGATAGAATACTCTTCACATTCCTTGATGACTGCAGCTCCAACAACACTCAAGAAATGCTTGACACCATTCTGGATAAAGTTACCCGCTTGATTGGCACCAAATCCAGAAGCATCCATTCCCTCCACCACCAATGCTCATGTAGCAGCAGAAGGCACAATCTACAAGATGCACTGCACAAATTCACTAAAGATCCTTAAGACTGCGCTTATAATGGAGAGAACATCATAAATTCACAGGAAAGATGTGGAAGCGTTGGAAAAGATGCAGAGGAGATTTACCAGGATGTTGCCTGGAATGGAGGGAAGGTCTTATGAGAAAAGTTTGAGAGGGCTAGGGCTTTTCTCTTTAGAACGACGAAGGATGAGAGGTGACTTGATAGAGGTGTACAAAATGATCAGAGGTATAGATAGAGTGGGCAGCCAGAAACTTTTTCCTAGGGTGGAGGTAGCTATTACAAGGGGGCATAGTTTTAAAGGGAGAGGAGGTAGATATAGGGGTACGTCAGAGGTAGATTCTTTACTCGGAGAGTGGTAGGGGCGTGGAATGCATTGCCGAAGAGGGTAGTGGAGTCGGCCTCGTTAGGGGCATTTAAGCGGCATTTAGATAGGCATATGGATGATAGTATAAGGTAGGGTGGAGGTGAGATAGACCTTAGGTTTAGGGTAAAAGTTCGGCACAACATTGTGGGCCGAAGGGCCTGTACTGTGCTGTACTATTCTATGTTCTATGTAATAGTGCAGCTGAAGATGGTTGGGACACTACCCTGAAGAACTCCTGCAGAGATGTCCTGGAGCTGAGATGACTGACCTCCAACAACCACAACCAAATTCCTACGTGCCTAGTATTATTCTTGATGCAAGACCACTTCCATCCAAAATGACAAAGGCAACAGATTCATGGGAACACCAACACCTCCAAGTTCCCCTCCAAGCCACTCACCATCTAGACTTGGAAATATATTGCCATTTGTTCACTGTCACTGGGTCTAAACCCTGCAATTCCCTTCCAAAGGGCATTGAGAGTTCACCTATCGCACATGGACTTCTTAAAAATGTATTCATTTGTGGTATGTGGGCATCGCTGGCTCGCCAACATTTTATGCCTGGTAGAGAGCTGCTTTCTTCAATCGTTGCAATTCACCTGTTGTAGGTTGACCTACAATGCCATGAAGAAGGGAATTCAACGAGTTTAACCCAAGGACAATGAAGGAAAGGCAACATATTTCCAAGTCAGGATGTTAAGTGGTTCAGAAGGGAACTTGAAGTTGGTGGCGCTCCAATGTTTTTGCTGCTCTTCTACTTCTAAATGGAAGTGGTTATGGTTTTGGAAGGTGCTGTCTGAGGATCTTAGGTGAAATTCTGCAGTGCATCTTGTAGATAATACACACTACGGCTACTGAGCGTCGGTGGCAGAGGGAGTGGATGGAGAGCCAATGAAGCAGGTTGCTTTGTCTTGGATGATGTCAAGCTTTTTGAATGTTGTTGGAGCTGCACTCATTCAGGCAGGTGGGGTGTATTCCATCACACTCCTGACTTGAACCTTGTAAATGATGGACAGGCTTTGGAGAGTCAGGGGATGAGTTACTTGCCACAGTCTTCCTAGTCTCTGACCTGCTCTTATAGCCACGGTGTTTATGTGACAAGACAATTTGAGTTTCTGGTCAATGGTAACCCTCAAGATATTGATATGGGGAATTCAGTAATAACAACACCATTGAGTGTCAAGGGATGGTGGTCAGATTGTCTCATATATGATGGTCATAGCCCAGTATTTGTATGGTGTGAATGTTACCTGTCACTTGTCAGCCAAATTCTGTATATTGCTCAGATCTTGTTGCATTTGAACATGGACTGCTTCAGTATCCGAGGAGTCACAAATGCTGCTGAAAATTTCACAATCATTGGCGAACATCCCTACTTCTGACCGTATGATGGATGAAGCAGCTGCATCAACTGCAGCAGTTCAAGAAAGCACCTTACCACCACCTTCTCAAAGGCAACTAGGGTCGAACAACAAATGTTGGCCAGCCAGCAAAGCCCACATCCCACAAGTGAAGAAAATAAAAGTATCATTCTTGTAAACCTGTTTTGTAATCCCTCCAAGGCCAATATATCCTTCCTGAGGTGTGGTGCCCAAATCTGTTCTCAGTACTCCAAGTGAAGACTAACCAGTTTTGAATAACAGCAGCATAACTTCTCCACCCTTGTACTTATTGTCCTCTAGGTATTAAGGCCAGCATTCATTACCTTTTCTAAAGTTTTGGAGCAGATTTGTAGCTTGGGTTGTGGATGTTGAGGCTGGTTGGCTCGCCGAGCTGGTTCGTTGTTGTTCCGCAGATGTTTCATTACCCTGCTGGATACCAGTATCAGTGAAGCCTCCGATGAAGCGCCATTGTGTTTTCCCTCGGTTTTCAACTCTGGAGTCCGTTGAGTGGATTACCTCACTTCTGGTTTTTCTTCGCAATGGAGTATATATGGGGTCGAGTTCTATGTGTTTGTTGACGGCTTTCTTCGTGGAGTACCAGGCTTCTAGGAACTCCCGAGCCTGTCTCTGCTATCCCTCACCGGAATCAAATTCACCAGAGAGGAGGAGAAGAACAAACAGCTCCCATTCCTGGACATCATGGTAGAGCACAGGACAAATGGGGAATTCCAAATGAAAGTGCACAGAAAAGCCACACACACTGACCAAGTACTGAACTTTAACAGTAACCATCCTAATGCACACAAACAAAGCTGCATGCGAACATTATTTAAACGAACAACACACTGCAGCAGCATAGAACTACACCAAGAAGAAAAATACCTCTTCCAGGTATTCAAGACCAATAGATATCCAAAAAACTGGGTCAGAAGATGCCTATTACACAAACAACACCAGGAAGATACTACACACCCCGACACACTCATCACGCTACCTTACATCAGGAACACATCGGAACTAACCATAAGACTCTTAGGACCGCTGGGCATCAGAGTAGCACACAAACCCACATCAACTCTACAACAACTGCTCACCCGAACCAAAGATCCACTACCCACTATGGACAGGACAATTCGTCATATACAAGATTCCCTGCAGAGACTGTGACAAACACTACGTCGGACAAACAGGCAGGAAATTAACAACAAGGGTACACAAACACCAATTGGCTACAAAAAGACATAACCAATACTGACTCATCTCTATCTGCATGGATAAGGAGAACCACCAATCCTATTGGGACAACACCAAGATCCTGAGACAAGCAAAGCAGAGACAGGCATGGGAGTTCCTAGAAGCCTGGTACTCCATGAAGAAAGCCATCAACAAACACGTAGAACTCGACCCCATATACACTCCACTGCAAAGGTAAACCGGAAGTGAGGTAATCCAGCTCAACGGACTCCAGAGTTCAAAACCCAGGCGGGAAAACACAACGGTGCTTCATCAGAGGCTGCTCTGATGGCGTTACCCAGCAGGGTAATGAAACATCTGCGGAACAACAACGCACCAGCTCAGCGAGCCAACCAACCTCAACATTCATTACCTTTCTTGACACTTTTCTGCACCTGTTCATGGTATTTTAACGATCTATTCACCTGAACCCCAAGTCACTTGGACTTCTACTGTATTTAGCTTCACACCATCTAGAAAAAAATTCCCTGATCGATCCTTCTTCAGTCCAAAATTGATTCCTCACACTCGCACTGAACTCTCTCTATCACAGTTTTGCCCATTCACCTAGTCTATCACTATTCCCTCATAATTTTATGCTATCAACTACACTGTCAATAATTGTGTCATCGGGTGTTAGGCTAACTAGTCTGTAATTCCCTGGTTTTCCTCGTAGTGGTGTGCAATTTTCCGATCCAAAGCGACAATTCATGCATCTAAGGAACTTTACAATATTTTAGTCAAGGTATCTACAATGTGCTCCACTACTTTATTTAACAACCTCGGACGGTAACGGGCAAATCCTGTGCATCTGTCACTCTTCAATTCCACTAGTTTCCTTATTACCAATCTTTTACTTACGTACTGGACTCAAAATGTTAACGCTGCTTTCTCGCACCACAGATACTGCCAGACCTGCTGACTTTCTCCAGCAACTTGTGTTTTTGTTTCTGATCTCCAGTTCTTTGTTTTACGCTTCTATTTCACTCTACTTCTCCAACACATTGTCCTTAGTCGGCAAGCCACAGCATCTCTTCTCTAATTGATTATAATCTCCCTCTAATTTATTAGCTCGATCCTAAACCAGCGCCATTTACCCCAATCCTTCCCGGCATAACCACTTCCACTTCCACTTCCGTGTCAGAGGGAGGGGAATGAGTTGTGCCAGCGTAGGCAACGGCAGTCAGGCATTCAGTGCGCATGTTCCCTTCCAGCAGTCCGGTTATCCATTGCGCATGCCCTGCAGACCCTGTGTCCAATGCGCATGCTCAGAGATGGAGAGCGGGAAGGTAAACGATTGGGTAGGTGGTTCTGGGAGGTACTGAGAGCGGTGAGTGAGTGGCCGAGAGCCCGAGAAAAGCTGGGGCTGTGGGCGACTGGGCAAAGTGGGAGAGGCGCATCACTCACTGCGGTCCAGGGGGGAACCGGCGTCTGATGAGGGGTGACACTAGGGTGTGGTCAGAGGGATGAAAACAGAAGTTGCTGGAAAAGCTCACTAGGTCTGGCAGCAAATGTGAAGAAAAAAATCAAAGTTAACGTTTCGGGTCTGGTGATCCTTAGAACTCATGATAGCTGGAAAAACTTCGGTTTATATGCAGAAAATAGGGAGCGGGATGGGGTAGGGAGTGAACGATAGGGTGGAGCTGGAAGAGAGAGAAGAGCTGTTGGACAAAGGAGATAATAATGATCTGGCTGGGAGGGTGAATAGTTGTTAACGGGGACTGTTAGTGACTAACAATAGGTAGCGTGTAATGGCAGGCTATGTGACAACAAGGCCTGGTGTGTGGGTTAGGGGGCTGGCACGTAGGAGAGTTCAGGCCCTAATATTATTGAACTCAATATTGAGTCTGGAGGGCTAAAGGGTCCCCAAGTGGAAAATAAGGTGTTGTTCTTCCAGCTTGTGTTGAGCTTCACTGGAACACTGCAGCAAGCCAGAGACAGAGATGTTGGCCAGGAAACAGGGTGGTGCGTTAAAGTGGCAGGCAACAGTAGTTCAGGGTCTCTTTTTTTTTGCGAGCAGGCCATAGATGTTCTGTGAAGCGGGCACCCAGAGTACGCTTCGCTTCCCCAATGTAGAGGAGACCACATTGCGAGCAGCGAATGCAGTAGACTAGATTCTGGGAAGTGCAGGTGAAGTGTTGTGATCAGAGGGATACTGGGGTCCGGTCGGTGTAGGTCACTGGGATGCAAGGGTGTAGTAGGATGATACTGGAGTCTGGTCATGTGAGGCTGAGGTCGTGAGATACAGGGAAGGGAGGGCGGTGTTTTGACTCCAATGTGCAAAAAAGTGGGGTGAGGGAGACCAGGTCCATGTTAGTGTGGGGTCTTGGGAAGATGTTGAATTGGATTCACATCAGGTACAGTTGGGAAGGAGTCTGGTGGTGTGAGTTGGATAGGGATGGGAGGTGTTGTTCTGGAGGTCAGAGATAAGTGAGGTTTAGTTTTGTGATTACCAAACAGTTGGAGTAGGTTTTTAGACTTTGAACTTTTCTTGTGTAGTTATTAAGCTTGAGTAAGTTAGAATCCTCAGAATGCTGTAATCTCAAGGGTTCCAGGTGCACAGCGATTATCCATCAGAATTTTCAATTTCCCAGGCAATTCCCTTGGCTTCAGCCACATTAAGAATTCTATAAAGCCCACAGTGCAACTCCAATTTGTACTGCTTCAATAACTGGCTAGCCAGTCTGCCTAATATTTGCTGGGTAACTCCTGGTGGGGCATGATGTATCCAGTGATGGTGGTGTCTGGGACATTGTCTGTCAGTTATGATTTCATGAGTATGACTATGTTAGGCTGTTGGGTGACTAAGTCTGTGAGACAGGTGTGAGGCTGTCTGACCTACTGTGCTTTTCCAGCCGCATACCTATAGAATCTGGCTTCCAGCATCTGCAGTCCTTATCATCTCCAAGTCTGTGAGGCAGTTCTCCTGATTTTGGCATTAGTCCCCAGTTGTTAAGACGGAGGGTTTTACAGGGTTGACAGGGCAGTTTTTGCAATTGTTGTTCCCAGTGCCTAAGTTGATGCCAAATGGTCTGTTCGGTTTTGTTTCTTGTTTTGAGACTTTGTAGCAATTGATGCAATTTAGTGGCTTGCTAATCCATTTGAGGAAAGTTTAAAAATCAACCACATTGCTGTGTCTCTGCTGTCACATGTAGGCCAGACCAGGTGAGGATGGCAGCTTTCATTTGCTGAAGGATGTTAGTCAACCAGATGGATTTTTCTGACAATCGACAATGGTTTCACTTTCTTAAATGAATTTGAATTCTGCTGTGGTGGGATTTGAACTGCGTGCTGAGAACATTAACTTGAGTTTTTATATTATGGAGTTTAAACTAGATAAATGTGAGGTGCAGCATTTTGGTACGGCAAATCAGGGCAACGTAAAGTCCTGGGGTGTGTTGCCGAATAAAAAGACCCTAGAGTGCAGGTTTATAGTTCCTTAAAGATGGAGTCATAGGTAGACAGTATAGTGAAGGAGGCGTTTGCCTTTTTTTACCAGTGCATTGAGTATAGGTGTTCGAAGGTTATGTTGCGGCTGTGCAGGACATTGTTTAAGACACTTTTGGAACACTGTGTTCAATTCTGGTCTCCTTGCTTTAGGAAGGATGTTGTGAAACTTGAAAGGGTTCATATAAGATTTACAAAGATGTTGCCAGACTTGGAGGGTTTGAGATGTAGGGAGAGGCTGAATAAGCTGGGGCTATTTTCCCCAGAGTGTCGGAGGCTGAGCGGTGACTTAATGGAAGTTTATAAAACTGAAGGACATGGACTGGATGAATAGTCAGGTCTTTTCCCCAGAGTAGGGGAGTCCAAAACTAGGTGGGACGGTTCACTGGTTAGCACCAACATCTGCAAGTGAGTTTGTTCAGGATTGTGCTTCCCTCTCATTGCAACTGATCACCAATTACCCTTTATTTACAAATGCATGGCCTTTGACAGTAGCATTGCCTCCCACTGAGTCAGGCATTCCAGGGAATCAGGCATTAATGTGCCTAACATTCACCTTTTTATGTCAGACAGGTCTGTCTAATTGGACAAGATTTACATCCCTAATCAGGGAACTCATTCTATGAGGTCCAGTTGGCTGACCCAGTTACATTCAGTACACCATGTTCAGGCAAACATCAGGAACTGTGTACAGCAACTCATGTCTGACTGTGCTAGTCCAGGTTTACAACGGGCTTTTAAAGATAGCAGGGGCACAAGGAATGCCACTGAGGAGCACATTGTTCTGGGAACGCCATGTGGTAAGATAGAGTTCGATTCATGCGTGTCATCAGTCATAGGGTAGGTCGTAAATTAGCCGAGTTTAGTCAGATATGGCGAGAAATCCTTCCAAACTCAATGCAATTCAGACTTGGATAAGTAGAGACAGGAGGCTGAATCTTGCTAAGAATAGCTACTATCTAACTAAGTTAGTGGCAGGTTTTATTGTCACCATATTTACCATGGGGTGCCCAAGCTTGATGGGGCAAAATCATTTGTGAGAGATTTACCTAGGTTGGCTCAATATTTTCGATTAGAAAGTAGCTGCCTGAGTAAAGTCCTAACAAAATATACTGAAGTTTTCCAGGAAGGTCTAGGGACTTTTGGAGGAGCCAAACCAACTTTGTATGTTGACTAGGAAACAATTTTGCACAGCCTGTCCACTGGCATTTACCTTACCGTTGAAAGTAAAAGCAGAAATCAGACTGGAAAGTGAAAGAATCATCTGTCGGTTGTACCAATGTTGAAGCTTGATGGGTCAGTTCGTCTTTGAGGGCATTTTAAATAAACAGTAAATTGTTTTTTTGCAGTTGGATAATTATCTAATCCCAGGATAGAGGATTTATGTGCAAAGCTGGTAGGAGGTTTGTCCTTCACGAAGCTTGACATGAGCCATGCTTGCTAAATTACATTTAGACCAGGATTCTCGAGTGTGCTACAATTAACACCCATAAAGATTTGTACCAATATACAATACTGCAATTCAGCATATCATCAGTTTATTCAGTGTTTCAATGGACAATATAGAACGTGTTGCAAGGTCTGGCTCAGGTCGCCATTTACCTAGATGACTTCCTGATACCAGAGAAAGCAAATAAGGAGCACCTGGAAAGCTTCGATTATAGAAGTGAAAATGTGTTCTAGCTCCCCTTCCTCTCCCATGACCGACTTGGGCTACAGGGTCGATAAGGCCAGGTTATACCTGTTGGAAGATAAAGTGAGGCTAACCAAAGGTGTCCCAGCTCCCATGTCTGTCTAAGCATTGGGTCTTTTCTGGGTCTGGTAAATTATTACACAAAGTTCGTACACAACTGGCATCCATCCTGGCATCATTGCATCAACTCTAAAAATGGATCAGCCTTGGAAAATCGTCACAGGTAGTCATAGAGTCCCTACAGTGTGGAAACAGGTCCTTCAGCCCAACAAGTCCACACTGACGCTCAGAACATCCCACCCTTCTATAACACACCTAATCTACACATCTCTGAACACTATGGGCAATTTAGCATGGCCAGTCCACTAGACCTGCACATCTTTGGACTGTGGGAGGAAACCGGCACACCCGGAGGAATACCCACGTGGACACAGGGAGTATGTGCAAACACCACACAGACAGCCACCTGAGGGTGGAATTGAACCCAGGTTCCTGGTGATGTGAGGCAGCAATGCTAACCACTGAGCCACCATGCTGCCTCATTGAATGTAGCTTTTGATGAAATAAAACAATTATCATCCTCTAATATGTTGGCACACTATGGTCCCAAAAAAGATCTGGTATTGACATGAAATCTCTCCATAAGGCATTGTATTAGGTCATAGGTAGCCGACTGGAGAGGAATGCCCAATAGCTTATACATGCAGGACTTTGCCTAATGCAGACTGTAAATATGTCCAAATAGAAAAAGGATTGGTAGTCATATTTGGAGTCAGAAAGTTCCACTAATAACCTTTGTGTGTGAAATTTTGTGATGCTTACATTCCACAAACTACTATTTGGGCTGCTTAAAGGGGACTTGTGCACAAAGCTGGCAGGAGGTTTGTCCTTCATGAAGCTTGACGTAAGCCACGCTTGCTTGCACTTAGAACAGGACAAGGCAGTGCTGCCTATAGCTTTGGGCTACACTCTGCAGTGGGCTCTAATATTAAGT